CTCCCTGATGCCAAGGGAATAAAATGAAAAGAATGGTTACTTACCTCATAACTGTTGTTCTTTGAGATGTGTTGCTCATGTCCATTCCATGTAGATGTGTGCGCGCAGCGTAAACATGTCATCGGAAATTTTTCCCTTAGCAGTACCCTTTGGGCCAGCAGGGGAACCCCCTGGAGTGGTGCCAGTATACTGGACAATATATACCGCTGCTGGCCCTCAAACCCCCTGGGTTCCTTCTTAGTGGACTACTCTGAGGAAGGGGAGGTGGGCGGGATTTGGAATGGACATGAGCAACACATGTCGAAAAACAACAGTTATGAGATAGGTAACCATTCTTTCTTCTTCGAGTGATTGCTCATGTCCATCCCAAATCCCACCTGCCTCCCCTTCCTCAGAGCTGCCACTTTGAAGCACCCCCTCATCCGTCCCACCTCAGTTGCTTTGGAGATCTTTTTGCGAGGGGCCCCTTATACCTGAACCCAGGGGTGCAAGCACTAAAGACCTTTTCTTAATCCAGCTCTATTGTAGTGGGAATAAATTCAGGGCCAGATCCAGCTTGCAGGCTGGAGGTTTCCTGCCCCTGAAGTAGATATAGGGATGTAAAATCCTTTTTCATTAGTTAACCCGGTTAAATGTTAACCTGTTAAACATAACTGATTAAATGGGGCCATGTTGGAGTAGTCAAGAGAACACAAGGGCTTGTAATTATGTACGGCCCTTGCAAGAGAGTCTCCTGTTACAATTTCCATGCTTGCATCTGGTGTTGGAAATGACAAGAGGATTGGCAGTCATCTCTTGCTTTTATATTTTCTTACTGCAAAAGACCAGATCACACGTTTCCTTTGCAGAGGGATGAGGTTTACCTGGGTGGTCGACAAATACCTTTGATGTCGCCACCCGTGCGTCCAGACTATCGCGCTGAGCCGACAAACAGCTGATCAGCTGTTTGTCGGCTCAGCGCGATAGTCTGGACGCACGGGTGGCGACATCAAAGGTATTTGTCGACCACCCAGGTAAACCTCATCCCTCTGCAAAGGAAAGGGAAAACTTACTACAGGAGAAAATGTACTGATTTTTTTTCTTGTCCTCCTTTGGCCCCCTGCAGTTTTTTCTGTGGGAAGCAATAAAATGAGCCTGAAATAATCTCTCATACCTCAATATTCAAGGCAAAGAAACAATTTAGATACGCAACATTTGAAGGCAAAGGGAAATATTTTTAAAGTCCTGATTCTCACCAAAGGAGAAATAAAATTACTGTCATAAAGATGTCTTTATTTTGTATACAGGTGTATTGAGCTTCATCACGATTCTGTGACAATATTTAGCATTTCCATGGGCAGCTTTAAATATTCTGTTTTACACTGGGAGCATCTTTCTGAAGCCTTGGTTGGAGGGGAGGGACTGTAACCTGGCAATATCAGGCAAATGTAAAATGGACAGCTAAAAATGATGATATAGAAATGGTTTCTTTGAAGCGAACTGTGTTGAACACCTAAAAAGATGTGGAAGAGAACCTCACAAGCCAACCTGGGAAGATTCTCTGTAGCCTTTTAAGCAACATTGTCACTGCATGTGATGGAAGTGCCTACTATGTTTTTGACTCCTCTCTCGGGTTATTGATGCAGCTAATTGAAATACCCAACAGTGTCAACCTATTTAAAATAAGGGATGTTAAAATTAGATGAAGCAACCAATCAAATAGTTGATGGAATTTCATCCTGGCTGTTGCTACATATCAAAGACGGAAGTGCTGCACAGCATTCCACCATTGAAATGTACAAGCTCCCCAGCAGGGGCTCTTGTGCATTTCAAAGACTGAAATGCTGCGTGGAGTCCGGGGCCAATGGGGGACTCAGACTCCACTCTGAGTTCCCCGTTGGCCCCAGGCTCCATGCAGACCTTCCGCTTTGAAATGTACAAGAGTCGCAGCAGGGATTCTTGTACATTTCAAAGGTTGAACGTCGCTGCTGCGCCTCTGACCCTCCCACTGAGCTGTAGCCAGCTCCCCACATCACCATGTCCTCTTCCCCCCCCCCCTTCTTGCTGCAGAGGCAGCAAGGGGGGTGGGAGCGACTAGTCCACTAGTGTGTCGACTATCCAAAAAGCTTTTGCTTATCAGATACTCAACTAGTCAGTTAGTCGCTTACATCCCTATTTAAAATTATGCCAAACTTTAACTAGGTGTCCTGACTTGGATTCAAGTCCACCCCTTGAGTAGAAATGATAAGAGGTAGAGTTAACGAATATCAAGTTATGGTCCATCGGCTGTAGCTTGTGAGAATATAATTGCATTTTTAATTGTCAAACCAAACAGTGAATATAAAATTCATTGCAAGAAATTTTACTAAGGGAAGCAATGCAAAAAAAAAAGTTATATATCATTACTTTCTATAAAGTGTAGCTGTGCTGTATTAATAATTTGTAGATAGTATACTTATTTAAAATGTTTTATAGTGCAGGGTTTGTTTGTTTAAGGAACAGTTTCTAGCAGAAGGAGAGAGAAAGAAAATCAATCGTTCAGGCTCAGTCTTCTATTGTTCTGTTAATACAAGTTGCTTTATCTTCCAGTAAACAGAAAGACCTGTCTTTTCACCAGTCTAGGTGGCAGAGTAGACTATTATTTTTAGAACTGAATTGTGCAGGAACATGAAGTTAGATTTGCTATAAGTTATATTGATGTAATGCTTCAGCGCTTTAAGTGTTCATAAATCATTTTCAGGATGCACAAAGGACTTTTTTTCTTTCATTTAAAAGCTAATTTGGTGCTCTGTGCTTTAGCCAAAACACACTAGTATGTAATTATAAGACCTTCAATGTTCTACTACTAACCGTCAAGGAAAACAGAGGTGCCCCAGAGTCTACATAAGGTGCTATGATTTGTTTAGAGATTTTTTTTTTTTTTTTTTGTTACTGCCATCTTTTAACAAGGACCTTGAAATATTTCTAGTTTTTTCCTGAAATAAATTTGAAGGTGGAAAAGCAATTTTTAAAAAAACGAGAATTACTCAGTTTGGGTTTATATGGGCGAAATGGACTTTTTTTAAATTATTAAATAAGGTCTGTATCTCTAACCAATAATGTACTTGTTACCAGCGGTTTCATTAAAACAAAAATCTGCAGGGTTCCTGTGACCTGTGTCATAACTTTCAACTCATCTCCTCTCTCTGAGGAGTGTGAAATGATAATGTTTTCACAGAAAACCCCAGTAATGTTGAAAGAGTAATGACTTGTGTGTGATCTAATTGTAGCCTTTATTTTCAAAAGGAAATCACAGCCTGTCACACACAGCACTTTTCAGGGAGACATTGCTCTTTGTTCACTTTCCTTCTCCGTGTGTGTGTGTATGTATGTATGTGTGTGTAGATGGGGAAATATCAGCATTTTTGCAGTGACCATAACGTTAGTGCAACAGATTCAATAGAAATTTTACCAGAAAACCTCAGCAGCTTGCCAAACCATTGATCTTGTATGTAAAAATCTTATCAAAATCTTATTCTGTTGACTAGATTTCTGGGCCAAGTTGTCCCAATCAGCTATATGAGTGTGTGTACCAGAGAAGGGATAACCCTCTCACATCAGGGCAACCAGTGATTACAGTCTCTGTGCTTGTGAGAAAAGAGGGACTGCTGCCTTTGGCAGACCTGTTGGTGTGTACTCCCTCATAGGGGTAGGAGAGTGGCATGGAGGATGTAAAGGTATGGCTCTATCCTCTCTTCTGTGCCAGCACAAAGAGCCATCAGGGAGAGGAGAGAACATCCTAAAGGCAGGTGTAGCATGCATGCAATCCCCTAGAAATATTGAAGTTCCACACTTTCCTGATGAAGGACTTTGCCAGAATGGCACAATTAAGTGTCTGATTTGGACTGAGGTGCAAGCACAACATTTTTCTCTGAAGATCTGTGCTTAGTTGC